TGCATTCTTAGCGCCTGAGTCCTCCAATGCCTTCGAAAGACGCTCTAATTTCGCGTCGAGTATCCCGATTAAAGCGGAACACTGGCAGTGGTCTTTCGGCATCTGCACTGGGGATTGGGTACCGTTTCGGGGGACTACTCTCTTCGCTACGGTATGCATTGCACCCTTGACGTAGAGGCAGCTGGCACAGACAAACGGATCAGGAGAGTTGGCTAGTCGGCTTATCTGGTCGTCCTGTAAACCCGTGCATTTGAAATGCCACCAGGCCTTGCAGGCGTGGCATTGCATACTTCGTTTGACGTTCGACGGGCAGCCATTCCAAGTTTTTCGGGTTGGTTTCACTCTTATCGCTAAGCGGCTGTCGTTCATCTGAATGACACAAAAAAGGTGTAGCATTGCTCTCTATGTTCTCAGCGCGAAGCAGTATGCTTGCCAGCGCGAGGACTCGCACCAATAAGTGTCTAACAGTGCTTTAAACTGGCTTCTAGGAGCGTGGATGGCCGTCGGCGGAAGGTTATTCCACACAGCCATTACCCGAAATGGAATTTTTTGCCTAATGAATGCGTGCGCTCTGAGCTTCAAAATCTTTTACCATGTCCCCGCCGTGTGTTTGCTGGGCCAATGGTGAAAAAACTGTTGGCTAAGCCTTGTTCAAACAGAGCATAGATAAGAATTAGGTTCCCTCGGAGGCAACGATACTCCAGGGAAAGAGGTCAAGCACCGCGAGACGCGTTTCGTAGTCCCCAGATTTGAGGCCGACTGATTCGAGGCACCTCTGACGTAGACCCCATAGATTATTTGGAATTTCATGCGAGTAATACGGGAGAAGGTGCGCCGAATCATCCGTAGAACGGCGGATGTCTTTTTCGCCGGTATATACCCCCTCACCCGAAAAGCCTGCTCAGTCTAACCAAGATGCTTCTATCACCTAGTGTATGCATCTGTCTCACGGCGAATATTGTTGGTTTGATTTGATTTGAGCATCAAATGTCACAGTGAGGGTTGCAACCTCAAAATTCGGTTTCTAGCGCCCATCGGACATCGGAAAGTGTAACCTTACGGATGTTTTGATCATTACAGTGTTCATCATACGGAAGCCAGGGAGCAAACAAAATCAAGTAATTTGAAATTTCAGGACTCTGAAAGAGACTTGTAGCGAGTGGAAGGGAAATGTAGACAGTATATACACCAATATGCAGGCGTTAGACCTACGGCGTGTATGCAATTCTAAAACCGACAACAATTATGTATTTTTTTACATTGCAGCTTAGTCGTCTAAATATTGTCAAGCAGACTTACGTTCAAGACGTTTTCTGAACATCATAACTGTGGTCAAATCTTTACCTCGGCGCAGCAGTAAAAAGACAAGATGGAAGCCGGATTACAAGCGGTGCATAAAAAACTTACCTTTTACTGTAAACCCGTGGCGTTTTCCGCCAATAGGCATCCGGCTAAGGCAAAATGTTTTGGAGTTTATAATTTCGTGTGTTAAGATATCTTAGCATAATACGTGTCAACGTGACTTCATCATTTCGACTACTTGTTTTATTGAACTATATTCCAAGGCCAAAATCGAAAATAGTGCTTAATAAGATCTCTCTACTTGCCGGAAAATAGGATTCACTTAAAATGAAGGGATTTTGCATGTGGTTCAAGGGCTACAATATTTCGTTAGAGTTTTTAGCGCCTACGATACACTGGGTACCGCAAATTTTGCGAGGTTCGCGCATGTATTTAATTATTCTGCTATCACCCACCGATGCAGACAAATCCAGCGGCTTTCAGAGTAATAAACTTACTGATGGCGTTCCACTTAACAAATAAAAAGCGCAAATATCATGAATTTTGTGTGACGAATTTCGGTAGGCTGGTTACCTGAAAAATTGCCGGATGTAGCGCTTGAAGCACTCATGACCAGTTTACAGGCAGAAAAGCTTATCATAATAAATGGCGGAGAGTAGTATGTTCTCCGCAATCAGCTCCAGGGAGGTGTCAGGTACCGTGCATTTGTGGATGCAAATCGTTAGCTACTAAGCGTAGCGTCGACCGTTAGCCGCCGCTTGTAAAACAAGAAGAAGCCTTCAACATTTTGTCGAATTCATCCAGCGGAACTGTCGCTGTTCACTTAGTACGGTCAAGTGAGCCTAGGTAGTTGCACTACTAACATATGGCTATGGATCCACGATTTCCAGCGAACCGGCGAGTTGCCATTTACGTTGATCGTGACGGAGAGCCGAATAGGCTCACTGAAGGCGTATGACCAACAGACGTATATCAGTCTCAACTGACAAATTCAGTGATCCAACTGGAACGAGATGAAAGTTTGAACCCTATAAGGCTACTGAAATATCACGTGTGTCCTGGTGTAAGGGGGAAAGCCCTTAACCGTGAGGATGCTTGTTAGCAAACGCCAACAAAACAGCCAAACTCTTAGAAAGGGTAGTAAACCTCTCATATGCACATATCTTTTTATAAACTGAACATTCTCATGCCTCCTCTTGAACTTTCATGAACATTCGTTGGTTATCACGCAACTGTAAACGAACGCTGGAAAGCAGCTCCCTAAGTTATGTATTAAATCTTACCTTAAATTAGACGCAAGGCGGGATTACGAAAAAACACATTTCCGGCTTGTCTCATCGCCGGCGGCTAGACGCACAATGTATTTTTCTGCAAAACGCCTGCGGACGAAATAAAAACCTTAACGTCAAAACGTTGCACTTCTTTTCATATATGCGTAGACTGAAACCCCCCTCATCTGCCTTTATTTTTTTGCGATTTGTTTTAATCGATGACATTTGAAAATTATTGGCGCACATTCGGCTTTGAACTTCGTTTGCTATGGCTTCGGAAGTGGCTTTCGTTGAGAAATTTGTGGGTGTATCGTTTTCATCCTTCATGGCATTTGAGAAGACCTTAAATCAATACATTAAGGATAACTCTGTGATATTTGTGCGTTCATCCAGTAACCGAAGCACCAACACTATTTCGCGTTACGAATGGGTGTACTACAAATGCAGCAGGCGCCCTCCAAGAAAAACGGAAAGCCATGGAATCCGAGGAAGCTAGTAAGCCGAGCGTAATTTCTAATAAAAAA